TGTGTGTGTGTGTGTGTGTGTGTGTGTGTGTGTGTGTGTGTGTGTGTGTGCGTGTGTTAGGAGCAGAAGGGGGCCACCCAAGTCCTCTTCAGAAGCCAAGCTCCCCTCTGACTCTCTAGGCACTGGGGACCTCTTGGTAGCTCCAGAAAATGCATCTTCCTTTCAAAAGCCCAAAGCAAGTGCTGCTGATAATGGGAGGGGCGGGGCATTGGTTAAAGAATGGGGGACAGAGGTGAAAGGAGAAATGAGGGGTGGAGAGCAAGAAACAGGAGGGAATGGGGGAAGAAACAGAGAGAGAGAGAAAGAACCGGATGTAGAGAAGGGAAACAAAGTATGAACAACAACGAAACACAGAATAAGCTGTAGAGAAGACAGGCAGGAGGGAGAAAGAGATGGAAAGTGAGGAGCGGGGAGAATTGAAAGGGAAAAAGGTAAAGCTGGGATGCTGAGAAAATAAGCAGAAGGATTGAAGGGAACCCTTGTCATTTGGGGTATCAACTGTAATGAATCTCCGGTAGGGTATCATTAGTGGAGACCAAGGCCATAGCCAGCCGGGAAAAGAGAGAGAGAAGGAGGCGGGTCCTGGCGTCTGCTGGCAGGTGGCCGCCCCTGGGTGGGGCCACCCAGCCAAGCCCTCGGGGTATAAGTCACAGGAGGCCAGGGCCAGCTGAACACCTGTCAGGGACAGCTCCGGAGAGCACAGGTGCAGCAGGTGGCTACCCGAACCCAGCCCCAGCATGAGTTCCTTCGACCTCCCGGCACCCTCGCCACCGCGATGCAGCCCCCAGTTCCCCAGCATCGGCCAGGAGCCCCCCGAGATGAATCTTTACTATGAGAACTTCTTCCACACTCAGGGCATGCCCAGCCCTCAGCGCCCCCCCTCCTTCGAGGGTAGTGGAGAGTACGGGGCCACCCCTAATCCCTACCTCTGGCTCAATGGGCCAGCCATGACCCCACCACCCTACTTGCCTGGCACCAACGCCAGCCCCTTCCTGCCCCAGGCCTATGGCATGCAAAGGCAGCTCCTGCCCAGCGACCTGGGCTGGCTGCCTATCCCCTCTCAGGAGGAGCTCATGAAGCTGGTGCGCCCACCATATTCCTACTCAGCCCTCATTGCCATGGCCATCCACGGTGCGCCTGACCAGCGTCTCACGCTGAGCCAGATCTACCAATATGTGGCCGACAACTTCCCCTTTTATAACAAGAGCAAGGCTGGCTGGCAGAACTCCATCCGTCACAACCTGTCTCTCAACGACTGCTTCAAGAAGGTGCCCCGCGACGAGGATGACCCAGGTAAGACAGCGGTGCCTAAGGAGTAGGCAGCCATCCCTTGGGATCCTGCAGCTATCCCTCAGGACTTAGTTCATTTCCGCTCCGAACTGTATTCTAGAAAGTTCTAACTTCAGCTGCTACTCTATTCACAAAACTGGGAGCTGCTAGGAGACAGGGCTAAGAGGAACCCTGCAGGGGAGGGGGAGAATGTGGGTTCTGCAAGCAGACTCAGGCTTCCATGTCTCAGGGAGATTGCGTTTGCTGAACCTCGGTTTCCTTATTTGAATTCAGAATTGTTTCTGCATGGTCTTTATTGTGGGGGGAAAAAGCTCAATATGCTGCAGTCATTATGACTCACTGAGCCTTAGTGGTCAGCCCGGAAGTCCTTGGTAGGACTAGAACAAGGCAAGCCTAAGTGTGTCACAGTCACACCTGTAGCGGAGAGGACCTGGCCTTGGTTGTGCGGCATGACTCTGTGTGTCCTCCCCTCCATACAGAACTTCCTTTAATCCTGGCAGCACCCTCAGGGGGTCTCTCAGTGAACCCATTGCTCAGATGAGGAAAACAGCATTCAGGAGTGACGCTGCCTTCCCAAAGTGACAGATTGGAATGGTAGTGATGGCACTTGACCTAAACCCAGCTCTCCCACTGAGACTGTAATGCTCCTTTCAAATAATGAGCTACAGACATTTGCAGAGAGAAATGTAAAATAGTCCTCAATCCAGTTTCCAGAATGGAAGACTAGTTTGGTTCTCATACAGGAAGCCGGAGTAAGGCTTGGAGCCCTACCTCTGCCCTTCTTTGAAGTCAGCCTTTGTCACAACTGTTTGTCCCTCAGAAGAGAGCCTGTCCCATGCAAGGTGCTCCCCCGCATTACAGCTCAGAGTAGCAGGGAAGAGCCAGGGCATCCCTTCTGGTGACACCTCAGCTGTATGTCTCTTGGACACACATAGTGTGTCCTTTCCCACAGTGAGTCTGGGGAGGTGAGAACTTTCCAGGCAAGAAAACTGAGATTTGGCCAAAGTCCTCTGTCACCGAGGAGCATGAGCCAGGGCTCAAGTCCATCTTAAAGGAGATATCCAGAAGTCTAAAACTGTTTCTTGGCTTTTCCTTAACCTTAGTAAGAAATAGAAGCCCTAACCATTACTATACCGCTCTCTGGATCCCTGTACCCTGACACTTTACCCTTAAAGGGATCAACCTTGTAAGCTCCTTCAGGCCCTATACTGCTTTTCTGTGCACTCTCCGGAGCCTCTTGCATGAGGAGTGGGGGGCATTTAGAGAGAGAAGGATGTGCAGAAGAATGCTTAGAGAGAGGTAGGTGTGTGGGGTGTGCTAGAGAGAGGTGGTAATAGGGTTAGCAAAGTTTGTGAAATTTCCCCACTTCTGTTCTGGCTTTGCTCTTCTTTGCATTGTTGCCCTTGATTTTAGTTTAGATGACATTGCAGACCAATAGAATGAGGGGTGTGTCCATCTCTCTGTTTTCTTAATGTCTTCCACTTTTGTCTCAGGCAAAGGGAATTACTGGACTCTGGACCCCAACTGTGAGAAGATGTTCGACAACGGAAACTTCCGCAGGAAGAGGAAGAGAAAATCGGATGCTTCCTCTAGCGCCGGCTCCTTGGTTTCAGAGAAAACAGAGAGCAGCCTCCTGGCAGGCAGTCCCAAGTCCGCAGAGCCTCAGGACGTCTTAGACACTGCCTCGCCAGACACCACCAGCTCCCCAGAGAAGCGGTCCTCCCCTGCCCCCTCAGGCACCCCATGTCTCAACAACTTCCTCTCCACCATGACAGCGTATGTGAGTGGGACGAACCCCATGGGCCGCTCTGTGGCCACACCAGGACTGAGCCCGGAGCCTGCTGACAAAATGGGGCAGAACTCACTGGGTTTCAACTCATACACCCCACTCACCAACCTCAGTAGCCATGGGAGTGGGGGTGAATGGGCCAACCCGGTACCCACCAATGCTCTAGGCTACGGAGGCTCTGTCCTCAACCAGTTCAGCCCACATTTCTACAATAGCATTAACACCAACAGTGTGCTCTTCCCCAGGGAAGGCACTGAAGTCTAGGGACAGAACAGCTTCTGGCCCACAGAGCTGTCAAGGGGACAGTAATGGAGGTCCTCCAGACCAGACCCTCCACTAACCCCGAGATCTGAGACACCTGAACCCCGCAGACAGCACAGGAAGCTAGAAAGAGTCTGTATTCTTTCTAGAACACAGTTCAGTGCTTCTGATCATCACATCTGAATCCACACAGATTTGATAACTACAGTGGGTATACCAGTGTCAGCTCTCCACAGTGAAGTGGCCATTTGTTGAGCCCTTATTACGTGCTGGGCCCTGCCATGGGCTTTTAAATGATATGGTCCCGCTACGTACAGTCATGTTTTGAAGTTCACATGACCCTCTCCACTTGGCAGATCTTGAAAGTAAGGCTTGAGAATGTTGTCAGCCTTTCCAGAGTCATGAAAATGAGAGAAAAAGATGTCAAAGCAAGGTCTGGGTAACCTTCAAAGACTGGACCAGAGGAGGCAGTGATGGAGGAACTGGTTCAGAGGATCTGAATAAGCTGATTATGGCTAGGTATATGGTTATACCTCCCCAGTGCCTTCTGGTTACCCATCAGAATTCAATGCCAACTTGGGCATGACTCTTCCCCACCTGTTCCTCTTCTTGCCCCAGCTTAAGCAGGCACTCCTTTAGCTACCACTCGAGAGGGCAAGGCAACAGCAGGATGCCCAGTGAAATGTCCCCCTAGGACAGTACCTCTAGTAGATACAATATGGGGGGTCTCCATTTTCTGGCCCCTCTCAGAACTTGAGCAGAGTCAGAGGTCAGTGCAAAGAGTGGTATGTACCCCTAAGTCCCCAGCCCAGCACCTCCCACTCACAAAATCTTGTAAAACCCTGCTTCCTGTGTGTGTATGTCATGGACCAGTGAGCAAGATATGGCTCGGACTTCCAAGAGAAACACGGCCAAATCAGCAGAATAAGCATGTCCCTTTTATAGCCGTGGAGAGGTGGACACTTGTCTGAGAAAACAATAGCCTTGAGGGAGGGGCCCTCTGCCCTCGGAGGGCAGGGAGCCTGTGGACACAGCCTCTGGAACTGTTCTCTCTTGGTTTTGTAAGTTACTTTATGTAACTGTGGCGTCCTATCACAGTACAGCCTGAGAAGTGTTGTTTGCTTTTCTTATTTCTCTTGAATTAAAAAGAAGAAAGAAAGAAAGCTGTTTGGAAGTGTGTGACCCTTCCTTGAGAGTTGTCCTGTTTCTCAGTTGCCCAGTTGAAACCTGAGGCTGAAGGTGCTTGGGGCAGGAAGCGGAGAAGAATGGGTATCAGACTTTCCCATAGCTACATTGCCTTGAAGCTAATCAGAGGCCCCCAGGGTGAAGACAGGGTTACGGGGATGGGGGAGAGTGTATGTGACCTTGTGCCACATACAATGTGAATATGGACATAGCCCAGCTTCACAGCTCGTGCAAACCCCATGATGGTGCTGTGAGCATGCACAGTCATGTGAAGGGCACGGCTCATCCAGTCAGATGAAAACGCAGGGACGAGGGGGTGGAGCCAGAAGTACACATGGGCTCCCTGCCCAGGTCTCTCTGGCATCTGCACTCATCACTCATCAGCCGTGGCCACTGCTAGTACAGCAGGCCTGTTTGCCCTGGTGACATCCCATAGTCCATGGCACTGAATGTGGTAATGTGTCTGCATTGAAGTTGGAGGTCTTCTACTTGAAGGTTTCTTCCCTGATGGAGAAGAGAAAGGGCTCAAGTCAGGGGTAGCTGAGTGAACTCTTTTTCTCTGAAGTTGCAGAAAAGAGGTGTTGAGCCGCAGTAATACTCTGGTGATCAGCACATCCACCCTGGGTTTTCTGGATGGCAGGCTCTGCTTTTGGACTTGACCCCCTTATTGTGTTTTATCTATAAAACCATCTAAGGCTGCCATCCCTTGATTTCCATGTTACTGGTGTTCTCACCAAGTTCCTGAGAAATTCTGCAGCCGTGGGAGCCACTTATCCAGGATTCACAGGCTACATGAAAGGCGCTGAGAGGGGCCTTTTCCACAGCTGTTAATAGAGGGCGCAGTACTTGAGGTAAGAACACACAGTCGTGAAAGCCAGAAGCAGTGGCAGGCACATCCTTCTGCAGTGAGACTCGCTGCTCATGTGTGGCAGTGGCTGAGGAGAGGGGAAGGGACACTGTGTCTGACCAAAAAAGTCAGAATAAGCTGTCCCTTGCTGCCTGCTGCAGGGAGGACCAGGGGCTCTGCCTCTGGGGCAATGGAAACAGAGGCAGAGTTAAAATATAGATCCCTGAAACCCAAACCCAAACCCAGGATTATTTTTGTCATACTACATGCCACTATCCCCAGATTTGCCCAGATCCTAGAGACCCACCCTCACCATTGCTTTATCTCACTGCCTGCTCCCATCCTCAACGTCTTCCGCATATAGAGATGCAGTGAGTTAGGGGACTGGGCAAGGACAGGGATGGGAAGGGGCCCAAAGAAAGCCAAACCACCCCAGAGGGGAGCGAGGAACTTAAAACCAAACTTCACAACTTGATCTTCTAGTTTTCTTTGGCTCGAAATTGAATGGGGTCAGCACCAGAGAAATCGTCTGGGATTCCGATAATATAGAGACCCTGACAGCTCCCGCCTGAGTCTGTGCAGGGGGAGTCTCTGAGTAGCATCTGGGGGGGTCACGGGAAAAGTGGGCACATGGCTGGGTGCAGGAGAAGGAGGAAAGCCAGCAAGAAGATCTTCGCTGTTCAACCTTAGTGGATGCTGCAAGGTGGAGAGAGGGAAGCTGGCAAGAAGGAACAAGGAATGAAGACAAGAATTAATTGGCCTAGCAAGGTTATAAATATAACTAATCCATCAGGCATCCATGCTTTGGCGCTGCACTGAAAGCATACTCCAGCATCAATAAGAATCTAAGAGGAAGGTTGCCCATATTGGAGGGACCAAGAAGGCCGCATAGAGAGGTGACACACACCAGGGATTTATACAGTCTCCTTCACACCACCCATCCTCAATTAGAAGGCCTGTATTTCCAGCGTAGAGTTTCGGGGGGGCACCTCAAAGCAGACTACATAATATTGTTTACATGACATACTATATACATATGCAATAATCTCACTTCTTCTAATGGGTAAATTTGCAAGGAGGTAAAAGTCAGGAAATGCTACCCACAACTGTCCCAGGTACTTTATGGTGGGTGGTGAAAAACAAGGTAGATCTTTCCCTGGGTCGTATAGCATATCTTCATGTTTAGTGACTACACTGTCTGCCCAGGTCACTATTTTTAGAAACCTCCTCCAGTGAAAGGCGCCCAAGGGACTTGCTATGTTGATGCATGGTCCCAGCCTATGCAATAACTGACCAGCCTCTAGTGTAGCACCTGACCAGGCCCATTTCCAATGATGGAGGAGGAATGGGTTTCCTTAGGTCAGACATGACCTTTGTGAAGACACATCAGGGCTACATTATAAAATCTTGTTTGTTACAAGGTCAAAGCCAAACACATGGGAGTTTGGTATAGGCTTCAAGCTGGGTGAAGCTTGCATTGGCATCCCTGGCAGATGAGACAGATCTGGATGCAGGACTGGAGAAACCATGATGGGGCATAAGGAGAGAAAAACTCATCAACAGAAGAATCATGTAGGAATTCACGTAGGAGTCGTAGCTGCGTGGGAACATGCTGGCATGTGTGGGAGTCGTAGCTGCGTGGGAACACGCTGGCATGCGTGGGAGTCGTAGCTGCGTGGAAACACGCTGGCACTGGCATGTGTGGAAATCATAGCTGCGTGTGAACATGCTGGCATATGTTGAAGTTGTAATTGCATGGGAACACACTGGCATGTGCGGAAGTCATAGCTGCGTGTGAACATGCAGGCATGTGTGGGAGTCATAGCTGTGTGGGAACACACTGGCGTGTGGCTAATACTTCCAGCCATATTATCCCTGATCAGCTGCTTCTGTTATTGTCTCCATTTGGCCACGAACACACAGTGACACAAAAAAGTTTTGAAAATCCGTCAGGATGTCAAACAGCGTTCTGTGTGATCGAGACCTAGGGCTTGTAAGCTCCCTTGGAAATAGGCATTGGGACCTGGTGATGAGCAATCTAGAAAGAAATTTCTCAACTAAGGGAACATGGTGACATAGTATCTGGGTCAGGAGAGTCGTGTTGGCCTGAATACTACTGGAGGTCCGAGCTTTATCCTCGTGAAGGGCTTAGCTCAGACTCTTACCCTGCTCAGACTTTGTCCCTCTCTCTTGCTTAATCTTCCTCCCTGGAAGAGGAAGCCTCGACGTGGCACCTGCCATGAAAGTGAAGTAAGTGTTGAGGATGTATTCTCTTTCCAGCCCAGGTGGAGCAGAGGTACCAATAACTACCACTCCCTCTGAACTGAGTAGTTCCCACAAACCAAACAGGGCCACCGTGGAACCCTGGAAGATCATTATTTCCATTTGGTTCTGAGGCAAACTAGCACTCAGGAAGTGAGGTCAAATTTCCAAGTTCACACAGCTACTAAGCATGGCAGGCAGACCTCAGAGAGGTGAGACCAGCTCCAAGGTCCATGGTCTTTCACCTAAACTTTCACCTGGGACAGGGGACTGGGAGAAAAGTCTACTCACAGGGAACAAGAGATGCCTTCTTCCCCTCTCCTCCCAATTCTGTAGACCATTTCTTCCCCGTGGGCTCTGAAACAACCACATGGAGAACCATGTCCTAAGGAAGCTGCTGCTCCAGCTCAGACCACCACCATTTCTACATCCTCCTGATCAACAACAGCATCCCTGCCTCCACCCTCTCCTTTCCGGGTGTAAAGCTACCCTCGGGGCTGCGGTGATCTTTGCACTCCTCAGGTCCTGAGATGGTTAATTTTGATGGTGAACTTGGATTAAGAAATGTTTCTGGGTTTACTAAGGCACAGCTCTGCATGTGCCTGTGAGGGACACTCTAGAGACAACTGGGTCCCAAGGGCACTGACCTCATGAATTCATTGATCCTTTGATGGATTCCTAATCTGATGGCATTTATCAGGAGATGGTAAAGAGCAGGAAGCAGAGAAAATAGGTGACTAGGGAGGGGCTTGTCTCTGGGAATATACCTTGCCCTGACTCTTTCCTATCCATGCCCCTTTCCTCTGCCTCCTGCCTGCTCGTCTCTATGCCCTCACCCCAGCCATCATTAACTGACACTAGGAAAACGTGAGCCAAGGTAAATACTCCCTCCCTCGTGCTTCTGTCAGACATTTGGTCACAGTGCTGAGAAAAGCCACTAGCAGGCTGAGTGATGGTGGTGCACACCATTAATCCCAGCACTTGGGCAGCAGAAGTAGGCTGATCTCTGGGAGTTCGAGGCCAGCCTGGTCTACAAAGTGAGTTCCAAGACAGCAAGGCTATACAGAGAAATCGCATCTCAAAAAAAGAAAGAAAGAAAGGAAAGAAAGAAAAGAAAGAAAAAGATAAAAGAAAAAGTCACTAGCACAGAGTCTTTGGTGGCTCCATCTCCTTTAGGTCCTTGTTCAGTTGCTTAGCAGCCACAGCTCCATCACTGCCCTGAGATTCAGAAGCAACCACAGGCAAAGCCCTCTGCCTATCTGGAGGATCAATATAATCAGTCCTCTACTTGAAAAAAATGATTTCAAATAGTTGCCTAACAACGCTGTATTTTGAGTGTAAATCTGAAATATTTAAAATGGTATAGCTGGGGAATAAATGCCCAGATATGCAAATGTAAGTAAGTGGTTATGGAAATGGGGTTTGGAGAAGCCAGCTTTTCTTCAAGACCCCAACAAGTGTTGGGAGTCAGGACAGCGGTGAGTCTTGTGTGTGTCTGTGTGAGAGGTGTGGAGCTGGAAGAGGTTCTGAGGGACTCAGGGACACTGGTAAGAATCTCTTGTTCTGAGAATTGCCACAGGTATGTTCACTGTAGGGAAAACTATCGAGAGTTGAAGTTCCGTTTGTGATTGCTACGTGTTTACTTGTGTACATTGAATTCAGTGGTGTGAGGGTGGACGTCTCCCTGGTTCTCTACATAGGAAAAGGAAGGCTGGTCTCAGAGTTCCCACAGGCTGTCCCTGAAGGCAGAGCTGGGAAGACATTCATAGTAACCCATTAAAAATGCTGTCTTCTGTACAGGTAGCATTCAGCACAGTGCTAATTGAAAACTACAGGGAGTTTAGTGAGAGTTTACTTTCTGAATTTGAG